ATGTGAGAGAGGGTGCTTCAGGGAAGTAAATTTAAAAGGTAAAGATTTCCCCTTGACATGAATGTCTAGTCATGACTGACTGTAGGGAGCAGTGCTTATCTCTGTTATTAAGCCAAAGAGCCACCATTGTCCAAGGATGGCTCCAGTGGCCATGTGGCCAGCATGACTGCATGGAACAGTTATCTTCCCACTGAAGTGATACTTAGTTACTTGCATTTGCATGCTTTTGAACTGCTAGGTTGGGAGAAGCTGGAACTAGTGATAGGAGTTGACTCTGTCATGTGGCATTTGGATCTCAAACTGCTAACTTTCCAATCTTCCAATTGTCAGAATTGGCATCATAACCACTAAGCCACCACATCCCTTCAGAGGGCACTTCAGAGTAAATACCACATGGGAGCGTGGCAGCAGTGATGGCCTAGACACTCTGATGCATGCTCTGCTTTGGTTCCGGAGCACCACTGTAGGGGCAGGAAAGCTGGAAGAAAAAAAGGCATAGAAATTAATTGAAAATGAATTTCTGCTTAATAATCCTTATACTCTCAGGGGGGGGGAAAGGGAACATGATTATGATGGCCTCCCTGTTGCTTTAAGCTACATTGAAACAGTGCTTCTCATTCTGTGAGCTAGCTCTAAATACTGTGGCTCAACCGGATTGTGGATCTGTTTTTTCTATACTATATTGTCTGCAATTGTGGAAGGTATAATTTTAGTTATTTATATACCCTTTAAAAAAATCTCACCACACATGTGAGACAATTAGCAGATTCGTTTGGAACAATGAGCCACAGTTTCACCCTGAATATTTTGCTTCAGGAAAAGTGTTCAAACCTTTAAAAGTAGGGTGGTAAAAATGTGGCCTTGGGGTTTCATTTCACTCCCTCAAAGGCTATTTTTGTGGCCCTTGACTGCTCCAAATCCCCAGCTGTCCTTTTTTCTGTTTAAAAAGGGGGACAAATTTAATTCCTGGAAGCCTTCAGAAGCAACAATTCTCTTTTTATATAGGCCTTGCCCCACAGTGTTTTTCACATCAACTGTAAGCCATTTTTAAAAAACCAGAAATGGACTTCTAGCTACTTCTTATTGTTTTGCATTGGGTTTTTGTTGTTGGTGGTGGTATGTGTGTGTATGTGTTTGTTTGCATTGTGGGCAATCTGTGTGGTTTCTGGGGACAGTACCGGAGCAGAAAACTGAAAACTGGACTCAAAACTCCTGCCTCACAACATGGGAGTTTTACACAGAGAGAAACCAGATAATGGGAGACAGACTAATAAGCTTATCATACTGTGTTCTCAGAACGTAATGAGTACGTGATGAGAATGGAATGGAATGTATTTTATCACATGGTATGATCCTCATCGAGTTCCCATTCTGTGCTCTCGCCTGTTCCAGGAGGAGAACTGAAAAAATGCATCCTCAACCAGCAAGAATGCTTTCAGACCATTCCAGATGATGTGTGTGCAATAATCCTATCTGGTCTCAATCTGTCCTTGTGTTCTGATTAGCTAAGACAACCTCCTCCCCTCCATCCTAGAAAGTCCACAAACTCAACTCAACTCTTCTGGTGTTGATGCAAGGAAGGTGCCATAGGCAATTTTAAAAATATTTTTGTTATTTTTGTAGATTGAATTGCATCGTGTTTACACGAAAAAACAATGAATGCTACCTAAACCTCTCGGTAGCATTCTTTCCAATGCAGACATAGGGGTTTTCGCAACAGTGAGCATGCGCCAATGAGGGACGGCTGAGGAACTACTTTAGCACCGGTACTGGTACAACAGTAAATGAAGTGTGATAATATGTGTTCTCATAACATTATTATCCCGTTATCAATAGTCTAATGTGGTAACACCCATTCCCATATCATTACGTTCCAGGGACTCGATGGGAATGTTACAGGTAATGGTGCGATAAGCTTATAAGGCTATGAGATTTTACTCATGAGAGAATTGTAAAGGAATAAATGTCAATCTAAGTTTGTTGGTGAGTGCGGTGTTCCTTATAGCATGGGGTTGGTTCAAAACCAGAAATTGGATCTGACAGAGCTATTCCTGACTTCATCTACCCTTGTACCTGACTAGCTGCTTTAACTGAGAAATTTCAATTGCTCCTTTTCCAGATTTCCATACTCCAATTTATTCCTTCTCTCACTTACCTTAACATAGTAGGGATATTTGGTATTTATATTAAACAGAGTGCAACAGGGCTAAGGCAATATGAACTTGTGGTAGAAACAGGAGGAATTATTCAGGATGCTCTTGTAAGGTAAACATAAAAACATACCTTGACTGCCTCAAGAAATCCACCTTGGGACAGGAAAGGAGATAGACGAAAGAAGTTGACTTATAACTGGTCACAAGAGCAATACAAGCTGGTTCTCATGTGTGGAGGTCAGCAACCACTACTATTGGGGTTAGAGAGCCCTGTGGATGCTCCTTTCTCAGGGAAAGGGAACGAAGGCAACATTCACAAAGCTCTGGTGCCACAACAAGCTACAATGCCCACAATTCCACAGCACTAAGCCATGGCAGTTAAAGTGGTATCAAACCGGATTATTTCTGCAGTGTGGATGATGCCAAAGAGATTAATAACTTCTTAAAGAAAGATGAAGTGACATCAACAGTTAAGGAGGAAGCCAAAGGCCAATGAAAGATACATAGAGGTCAAACAAAGGGTGCATCTAATGCAATTTAACACCACTTTAAGTGCTGTACCTCCATCTTATGGAATCCTGGGACTTGTAATTTTACAAGACCTTTACCTTCTACCACAAGGTGGACCACAAGTTGAACATGAGTCAACAGTGAGATGCAGCAGCTA